AATCGCAACTATTTCCCGAGGGAACAGACATTAAGTATATTTTGTTTATTTATGTACGTAGCTGGTCCGGGCAGGCAACAATTTTTCACTTGTTGCCCAGCGATTTACATTTCATTTATCTAAAGCCACGTGACCACAAATCAGCCAACACGTTTGGTGTTCACCCTAGCTATATGACAATGTACACATGGACTTTTAAGATGAGCAAGCTCATCCTAAATGAGCGAGCTCATCTCCCCTAAATTTTCTATAACCAGGCAATACAGCTACACCTCCATTTCCAGAACCTGAATTCCGTAACGAGTACACTGAAGGTTTGTATCATTTCCCTTTTTCTTAAAGATTTATTCAATGAAAAAGATAATAGCATAGTAGATACGTAATACCCGACCGGAGGGTTGATGGCAATAGTCGTTTTTGACATTTCGATGCGGTCACTAATTTAATATCAGAAACATCAACAAGTGAACAAAGCCCGCCAAGTTCGACGAGTTATCGCGTTAAAATTTGTGCGTTGTGATTGAATATGTTGAGCTTTGTTCATTTGTTGATGTTTCTAATATTGAATTAGTGAGGGAACCTAAATGTCAAAAATAACTATTGCTATGAACTTTTTTCGTGAGGTGGTCGCGTATCACGTAAAACTGCTGTATTGCTGTAATTATTCCTATCTTTAACAGGCACAGGCACCGCTGGAAGTACATCAGCTGGATCTTCTTCCAACTCAAACTCTGGATTTTGGACTGGTAAGTTTCTAAATACTGCACACATTTCGACTGAAAACTTTAATAAATTGCCCGAGTTGAACTCGAGATGGCGACGTTTAAGGGGTGTAGTCCTAAGACGGTTCACTATTACAGATTACCATTAGAAATGTGAAGGGGAATGGCGGGTGGAGAGGTTTCTGTCATGCATGCTTTTTGGGGTTCGCTTGGTGTGCATGTTAATGGTCCTTTCCTTACTGAAGGAAAGAGAAATATTAAATGTAGATCATTAGCTTTTTTTACCCATATACATCAATCTGTTGTGAAATTTGCAACAAGACCGCAGATAAACGGAAATTGAATAAATTGCATTCAGTGGATCATATTTTTAGGTCAATAATTAATTGTACCATTTTGTCCACTGCCACCAACGTTCCAGTATTTGACCCGTATATATACCTGGAGTGAGAACTCGAGTCCAAAAAGTGAAACCAATATGGAGCTGTTGAACGCATTGAGGTTGAACGTTACTTCCAGTCCCTTTCCTGTTGTTTTTGTTTGCGCAGTTAACACGAAGCTGTAAGAAGTGTGGCAGATTTTCGTATTTTGACTTCGATTTAAAGACTAATACTATGGTTTTATATATGAACAGAGAACTTGTTTGGTGATACGATCTGTTAGAAAAAACTGAGTTTAGCTGGAGAAAATGGTATTAAAACTGTTTACGACCTTCATAGATATTGGACGTCAATTTCCTCCATCTTGACCCCAAAGCCGGATTTTGGTGGAAATGGTGGGGCAGGTGGAAAAAATTTAGGGGAGGTACAGCAGTCTAGCGGAATGTTATGGCTTAGAACGTGCCATTGCCCCACACAGAGTTAACTACGTGACGTATGCTTGTATTGGGTACTTGAATGGCTAACACTTTAATTAAATAATTTCAATTATCTACTAACATTTACTTTCATCTATCATTTAACATTTCCCAAGGAGAGGTACATGGCTTATCAGGGGTGGTGCAAAAAATCTCAGGGGATGTGCAAAACGATTTCAGAGAAAGTGCGCATCTCCCCACGGCTCCCCTGAAAATCCGGCCATGCTTGACTTCACTTTTCTCATATAGGCCGAATGACTGAAGTTCTTGCTCCAGACATATATATAACTCACTGATTTAACTTAAATAACTGACGTCATCGCCAGATAAATTTTAATAATTTGACTATACTGTACCTTTATTAATTGAAATTTTTTGTGCTATTCAGGTGCTGCTGCTGGTGGGTTACTGGGATACTTGTTTGGCGGGTAATTAATCAAGCTTTTTCAGTATTTGACTAAAATTGTGATGTTCTTTTGGAATCTACTTATTGGAAATACAGTAATTCATGATTTTTGATTGGCTAACGACCAACGTTTCGCTCGTAATTTCCATATAAAAGCCCTTCCAGGCTTCCACACTTTTCGCGTTAACCCTGTGAGGATCTCCATCAAGGAATCGTGTGAATCATGTCAACCATGCCTTCTATTTCTTTCATTGCAGACGAACTAGAACTAACTATCATCACAATCCCTACAACAGAGGATGGGGTGGTGGTTGGGGTGGTGGTTGGGGTGGTGGTGGTTGGGGTTCATCCTATCAACATACCCCTCATTATGGCAACACTGGTGGATGGTCATTTGGTAACTTTTTTGGTGGAAGTAGGCCATACCGTCCTTCCAGTAATTCTTATGGTTTTTCTTCGTTTGGCGGGTGCTCCTCTTCATCGTCGTCGTCACCAAGCAGCGGATCTCGTACAGCGTCAGGTAAGGCCTGGTTCAAACTCATTTTACATGTGTCGAATACAATTCGCATTTGATTCGAGCGGACTGCATGCAAAATTCCACATTTCAATTAAAGCATGAGACATTATCGCCTGTATTCTAAAAGCTCACACTCAATGAGTGGAGGTTAAATTAAATCTGAATTTCTCTCGAGTGTCAGTTCTGTTTTTGAATAGCTGGAGGGTGAGTAGTCACATAGTAAGGTACGACACTAACCCTCCAGCTATTCAAAAACAGGAATGACACTCGGGAGAATTAGCTCAGATTGAACTTCCACTCATTGAGTGTGAGTGTGAGTGTGAGTGAGCTTTTAGAATACGGGCGTAAGACATAGAAAATCTCGTTTATAAGAATATTATAAGGTTAAAATAGGCAGTATGTAAAGAATATAATTAGAATATGCCGAAGATCGAACATCGTTCAGGGGAAAGTATGAAAACATATGATTCGCTGTGATGGCTCTATTACAAACAACTGCAAAAGTACTGTACCTTATGGTTAGTGAACTCCGAAATTTAAGAATCTCGTAAGATATTTTAAGCCTAAATTTGTTGGGAAAATAGATATATACAAAGATTTATCTGTTCCTCAAGTAGGAACAGGTGACATTTCAATAACATTATATGAAGTTTTTCGAAGCCACGCCCACATGCAAAATGCGACGTCTTAAACCACGTCGCACTTTGGTCGCGTTATATGACCGCACCGGTCGAATTTAACGGTTACGGTCGACCGTAATTAGAAACGTTGAATTTTTCATCTACATAATTCAAACTATTTAATGCGACACATGCAAAATGCGACGTTTGAAACGTGCCTAAGCAGCACTTGTTAATTCTGTCCCCATTCAATATGAAAATTTCACCCGAGAAATGTTATGCGTGTGAAATGCAAATTTCATCTATGAAATTCAGAATTTTTACTTATGAAATTTAAACATGTTCCTTGACATGTGGAAGTAAGGACTCATATTATGTGAAAATTAATTCCACACGAGAAAATTTTCATTTCTCATGTGGAAAGACAGATGTGAAATCACGGAAAATTGAAGAAAAGTTTTCGTGAAAACGGATTAATTATGGGCATAAACCAAACACTTTACTTACATTGAAAATATCAATTGATTTGTTTGGCAGACTATCTATCTGCGGTATATTGAAAATAAATTGCAGCAAGTTACAGCATTGATTAAGCTTACTACATATAATCGAAATCAAAATAATTGAAGGACATCCACGGAGCCTACATTTTAGCTGCCGGTGAACGAGACAAGTTTAACAATAAAGTTACTCTGTGAGAGCAATTTTAACATTTTCTCTCTAGATGGATTTTACGCTCCCTATTTCGTCTCCTTTTATTCCTCCTGTCTGACTTGAACTTTGTTTTCTGCATGCTTTCTTCGCGGCCTTTATTGCAAGCTTTTTACCAGGTGCATATCCACTGGCCCCTCCACAACCCCATGCATACCAGCCAGTTTTTTTGTCCCTTCTAAGAGTGAAACGTCTGCATGACGACGGGGTAGGAAACTCTACAAAAATTATTTATTTGATTATTGAATTCGCCTTCTATCAATCAATGTACAAAATGTAAGCCCTGTCCCTGACAAACGAGGATGAGACTTGATGAGAGTTGCAATTCTCTCAAAGCTTTCGACTCTCAAGGCATGTTCACATGATTCATATTCTGCATGGAGTATGAAAATTACTGCTAAGAATATAATTCTTCTTTGTTGAGTTTATGGAGAAATTTAAAATGCAAAACAATAAAGAGACTGTATCATGCATGAATTATACAATGTATCATGCATAAATTATACAATGTATCGTGCATAAATTTTTTCAATTATGCATAAATTATACAATTATCATGCATAAATTATACAATGGGCTAATTATGCATTCAGTTTAGTCTGCCCAGGGTTAATAGACCTATTAACCGTGGTCTGCCCGGAGACAGACTTTTGCTTTTTATCCCAATATAATCATTGGGCAATTTCCATTTTGGCTACTAAAACTAAAGAGGTTTTAATTCAGTAAAAGTCACCATAAATCCGGAAGTATGAATAAGTTTAAAATAGAATAAAGGATAGGATTTAGCCGGCAGTATGTAAAGAAATAGGTTTACTTTGGCAAGTAAGTTTTATAATATAAGAACCAGAGGAAAACTTAGTATCAGTTGAAACATTCAAAAGATGCAAAGTTTGTCTTCAGATTGGGTCTTATCTTCGTAGCAAACAACCCACAGGATTAAACAAAACACAGAAGTAAAACTGATCGGTTAAAAAGACGTTATACCCTTTATAGAAATTAAGAAAGTTAAAAATTTTGATATGAAATTTATATGTTGTGGGAGCTCCTTGTGCTTCTAAAATAATTTTTTCGTGCATGAAATTACTATATATATGTACCAACCAAATGCATTTTAGCGAGCTTTCGAGCAAGCGACTTTTTTGTCAACGCGAACGTCACCCGAAAATTGATGTAACTAATTTTGGGGCATTTTGCATCATAACGATCGTACAAGCAAAAACTTTAAAATCTTATGGTTTGTCATATGTGTTGAAAATGACCACAAACTGATATACAAATCCAGGGTGCATTTTAAGTGCAATACGCCGAAGATCTTCGGCGTGAGTTTGCCAAATTACAATACTATATCTATAGTTAATATTGGCGTATCTTCGGCGTAGAGTTCACATGGAATGAACTCTGGCTATACAAACACAGTTTTTAATCCCGCCCCCCCCCCCCGGCAATCTGACACGCGTGTTGAAAAAAACGTCGTTGTTTGCTTAAGCTCGCCATTAAACCAGCGAGGTATAGCGGTAGTGGAAGTCAAATTTCAACCTCTCTAGTGACGCGCGCATTTTACTAGAATTATCTGACCAATCGTAGAATCGACCTGAATTCTGTATTTTATTATCACAATTTGGATACTTTATTCACATCCTTACCTGCTAAACACAGTAGAAGGCATACCAATATCACCTTTGTTAATAATTGTGCCATGCTCTGTAAGGCTCAAGAATACTGAGAACTGCGATGATTCACTTAGACTGCTATATAAAAGTAAATTTGACTGATTGGTTGTCTGTCTGAAGCGACATTTTTATGCGTCTTATATTACGTCATTAGCCATCTTCTGGACTCTTCGCTGTTCCTGCGGTAGTAGATGCTTCAAATTCTGAAGAAACCGCAACGTTTCGAACAAAGATCAAAAGGGGACGAAAGGAAATAGTTACTCCATGAGACCGTTCTACCCAATCCAAACTACCTTTGATATTTGTTGAAAATAGCAACAATTAAAGCTTGAAAGACTCCTTTCTTTCTGAAAAAACTTGAGAATGAGCAACAACAAACACTGAATCAGTGTTCTGTGAGAAAAGTAGAAAACTATCACAAAGCGGCATATTCTACAACCATGAGTTTCGCCAAGGTTGCCACTACAGCCTGTTTCATTCAACGAAGAAATGTGGCTGGCAATTTTCGTGTGTGTTGCTTAATCAAACTATGGTTGTGGTCAATAATTGAGCGGGTGGGAGTTGGGACGTCATTGCGTGCATTCCTTGAACGCCCATCCGCTCACGTTTCGCCCACAACCGTTGAAAAGCAGCTCACTTTTCTCAATTTGTTATCCACTAGAAAATTCCTTTGTTTGGTTCAAATAGGGAAACCTTGGGGTAAGCGAAACTATATAGCTATATTTGCTCTATATCTATATGATATTGATGAAGGACAACTTGAATCGACCGCCAGAGAATATATTTAATTCCGGTTCGCTTAGGTATTTCCCCATTCTTAAATTGGTAAGCATGCAAGGTGCTTGCTTACTTCATTGATTCGTTGATCAGCTTTTCCGGCTAAGAGAATAATAATCAACATAGACGGCAATGATGAATATCTCTTCAAATTCTTCATTCACGTAAATGCATGGATCGATATCACTCATGTTTTGGACAATGTACATTTTCGTCAATTTGCTGTCAAGAACAGAGATGCAACAACGTGGGGATTGTTTGAGTGAGACTATAAATGCTTCGATGTATCCTGCAGACTATAGATGGGTGTTCGTTTTAGGAAACACGCAACCGGTTTCAAACAAAGATGAAAAGGGGACGGAAGGAACTGGTGGTCACTCCAGCACTAATTAGATTCCTCTACCCAATGTGAACAGTATTTGAGTCTGTCGAAATAACAACAATTAATACACAAAGACTCTTTTCTTTATGAAAATGAGTAACAACAAACACTGATCACTTGACCATAAGAGAACAACTTGAATCGAGAGTTCCCTTCATTATAAGCAATTTCCTCCCGCACAATATTGACTGCGCATTGGCAAAATTAGCTGGTCTATAGGAACAAATAAACATAAAAAGCTGGGTAGAGATAGTACCTATATAGTAGGGTAGAGATAGAACCTAGGGCTGTCATGTTATGTATGTGATGATGGGCTAGCCCAGGTAATTGCGGTGGCTATAATCGTACAACAGCTTCAAGGCCTCAATTCCTTAAATGATAGAATTATTTGTTTTAGATTATGTGTGTATTAGATTATTTGTTTTAGATTATTGCATGCGTGTATAAACATTAATAATCAAGCCATGAAGAAAAATTAAGGTACTTGGTTTTCGCCATCTTTCAAAATAATTCTTTTATTTTAAAACTGATTTGAATTGGTTGAAAATAATTTTACTAAAGTTTATATGACAATTAATACTTTATAAAATTGTCCTCTCGGCAAAGTTTACGAGCACAATTTCATAACATATGAAACGTCTTTTCGCGTTTAAAGCCATTCCGAGACCCATTTGATGTCTTCGCCTTCTTGGTCGCTTCCCTCTTAATAAATCTCAGTTATCCGCATGTTTCCCTTGCATTCCCTTTTGCAGTAGCTTTATCAGGAGAAAATCCTTGGGTGGCAGGAGCGTCTTTACACCTCCACATATACCAGCCAGTTAAACGGCTTTGTTTAAGATCATATGGTCTTCTAAATAGCCAACTTGATGACGGACAAGGAAACTCTTTAAATGAATAAAGAAAATTAAAAATGTAGTTAACACGAAGCTGCCTTCACTTTTTGGACCCGAGTTCTCGCTCCAGATATATATATATATATATATATATATATATATATATGGAGCTCACTGTTCTGACATAGAGCCAATGTTAATATGTTATCTATATATAAAGAGTACTGTAGCCCAGGGCTCGAATTTTATCGCGGCAATTGCCGTAGAGAGAGAACATGCTGTGGATCATTGCGACAACGACGGCAATTTTTTGCCGTATAGTTCAATTTTTATACTATTCACTGTGCATTACTACTTTGGTATTTGAATTCAGATGTTGATCAAATCATGCGTAAATCACTAATTTAGACTCGGTTTTCTTCGAACTAAAAACACTAAAGAAATACGTAGACACGTTTCTAGCTTGTCAAAAATCCAAAAGTAACAATAAAATTAAAGTTTTATTATAGTAATTTGAAAAATGCCGTGGTAACTGCCAAAATTGCCGTAGACAGCTGTTACGTTCTACGGCAATTTTTAACGCCATTGCCGCGTCGATTGATTTTAGGGAAATTCGAGGCCTGCTGTAGCCCCAGGGAAATTGTAAGCATGGCCCGTGGTTAATACTGTGCCGACATATTCGATCATTTCATTTCTAAAGGGCCGACTACATGGAGCATTTTCAACTCCGGGGATGAACTCAGCCCTGTTGACCGGATTGAAATTTCAACCCTGTCCGCAATACAAAACTCTATCAAAATCAAACGCGCGATTACATGACAAAATTTTCAACCCAGGGCCGAGTTCAACCCCGGGGTTCAAATTTCAACCCTGGGTTGAATTCAGCCATGTAATCGTAATGTCATGTAATCGTTTCAGCCCGGGGCTGAAATTATTCGAGCATGCGTGGTAGTGCCTATTTATTACAAGAAAACAAAATGGAGGCTATATGGAGCAGCTTTTTTTTTACTTCCGGGAATCAATGTTGGGAGCGTATAGCATTTCAACCCCCGGGTTGAAAATAATCGTCCATGTAATCGCAAAAAATTTCAACCCGGTTAGCAGGGCTTAGTTTCAACCCCGGGGTTGAAAAAGTGCTCCATGTAATCGTCCCCTAATTCTGTCATTTTTCATCCCTTAAGAGTACGGAATGTAAATAATGTGTTGGCCAAGAGTAGAATACGGTCATGCATGTGTCTGCAACTACGTTTAGGTAACTTGCTTCTGTACCTGAAGTTGCGTAAAAGAAGCGCACTCGCAGTTTCGGCGACAAACACTAAAGGTATCCAACGACAAAAATACAAACACGTTAATTTTGGTCGTCTCGCTTTAGAAAATTTATTCTGTAGTTCATTTCACGTATATAGTGTATTTAAAGAAAGAACAGAGTTTCTGTGTGCGTTTTGTAAACAAAATTGCTAAATATCATTCCTAAATTTTCATCAGACAGTCTAGAATGACAATTTCATAATTTTATATACGACCCAAATTCTAATATACATACAATACAGGTAACTGTATGGTAATCATGAATAAGAATCTTACCTGCCAAACAGAGCAAAAGACATAACACTATCACTTTAGTCGATATTTTTGCCATGCTATATATATGAGTTCGAAGCTTCTACCAGAACTGTGACAGTTCAATTCAATAACACTGAAACCACAGAATGAATGCAACTATGTATGATCTGACCTTTTTATGCTATCTATATTACGTCATTAACACCCGTCGACAAAAACTGATTTCCTCTTTCCGCAAGCTGGTTAAAGTACTAGGTTTTTCTGAACAAAAATTTAAATCCCCTCATTTCCGGGAGACCAATGGCAGTAGAGGTTTGGAGCTTTGCTAGATCGTGCAAATGTGCAATTCATGCCTCGTGATATTTGCACATTATCATAATTGTATCATAAATTTCGTAGTTTAATTAATAATAAGGAAATCGTGTTTATATTTATTAAATTAGTCAAACTAAGATTATTTTGCCTCATTTCAAGTTTGAGTTGGTAAATGCTGAATCATGTCAATATATATATCCTGCTTCCGTATCGTTCTGTTTTCTGACGTAAATCTTGGTTTACTTTTCATTTCCTTTAATAATATCGCTGTTTACACATGCATGACGTCAATGCGTCTCACTAAGCGCCATTTTGTGGTTGATATTGAAGGAAATATTGAAGGAAATTTTAAAAAATTTACTTCGTCTCATTTGAAAGAACTTTGAAAACTATATGTAAAACTCATCTGCCGATTTTTGACCCAAAAAACCTTCGGTTAATTTCTTGTTTGGTTTTAATGACGTCAAAAGCAGGGTTAGCGGTTAAAATTATACCTCGTTGACCAAATAACAATTATTAGTTTAATCGATGTGTGGACTTATTATGATTATGACCATCATAAAAAATTCGCGTGACCCTGCATGCTTGCGACAGTTCACTGATTTACGATCATTTCAGGAAAAATATTTCAACTTGAAAACGATGTAAAAGTGCTTTCCACGTAAATTTAAGATTTCAAATTTATTGTCACACAATCTATTTAATGTGTGCGTTAGCCGTTATACAGTAAAGTTGCTGAGTTATTTTGGTTTGTTTTAGAAACATCGCGCATGAATAGTGAAATATAAATCTTCGCTCAAAATAAGGATATCGACTATAGTCTATACTACATTATTTTAAACCTTAAAGTCAAATTGAAGTCGAAAGAATGCGTTTTTTTCTAGAGATTTGTTGCGTATAAAAACACACTGCACATATAATAAGGAAATCACATTTTTTGCTTCAACTCGAAATTTCGGTGCCAAACCAGGCCCAAACGAAATTTGGCATCGCTTAATATTCGCTGCGTGAGTTTGTTAAGGCGGATTTCCAGTCCTCGCACGAAGCTCGCTGCGAGTGATGCATGAGCACTTTCATCCAATCAAAATGCTAAACAGTTAATTTAATTTTAATTAGATGCAAGCACTCGCTGCAAGGAGCTTAGACTTGCTCGAAGTCTCTCTTTCATTGTCATATCGATCCACTATAGTGTAAGTTACATGACGTTGCACGGAGAGGCGGGGCGAGAAAGAGAGACTTGTCAACTTCGGAAAATCTCGGTTCAAAACTGAACCGAAAATGCAAGACTTGCTTTAATTCTTTTCCTTCAATTTCTTTCTGTATTATTTACTATAATGGAACTCATGTTATTTACACTGTGCTAGATCAATACATATAAACACTGACAGAAAACAATTAAAGCAAATCTTGTATTTTCGGTTCAGTTTTGAACCGAGATTTTCCGAAGTTGACAAGTCTCTCTTTCTCGCTCCGCCCCTCCGTACTACGTCATGTAATGTACACTATAGTGGATCGATGCTATATGACAATGAAAGAGAGACTTGGAGCAAGTCTACGAGGAGCTTCGTGCGAGGACTGGAAATCCGCCTTTAGTCTGTTAATTAAGTCGCATTCCGCGACTGTCAAACCTTTATTTTTTTAATTAATCTAGAACTTTATGACTGTTTTCCGGCCCGTATAAACAATTCAAGACTTCCAACTCTCATCAACTCTAATGCTCGTTTCAGTCTGGGCTGTATGTAGTTTGTTAACAAGATTTTGGGGGGAATTGAAGGGTATTGTACTGTAGATGAAAGTTTCGATTGTAAATGTTATAGCTACATTTATTTAGACTAACCTGGAGCAGCTGTGAAAATAGACTTGCTCCAAGTATCTCTTTCATTGTCATATAGTATCGATCCACTATAGTGTACATTACATGACGTAGCACGGAGAGGCGGAGCTAGAAAGAGAGACTTGTCAACTTCGGAAAATCTCGGTAAATGCAAGACTTGCTTTAATTGTTTTCTGTCAGTGTTTATATGTATTGATCTAGCACAGTGTAAATAACACGAGTTCCATTATAGTAAATAATACAGAAAGAAATTGAAGGCAAACAATTAAACCAAGTCTTGAATTTTCGGTTCAGTTTTGAACCGAGATTTTCCGAAGTTGACAAGTCTCTCTTTCTCGCTCCGCCTCTCCGTGCTACGTCATGTAATGTACACTATAGTGGGTCGATATGACAATGAAAGAGAGACTTGGAGCAAGTCTACTGTGAAAAATGCAACTATATATATGCTCTCAGACAGGAATCGAACATGCGACCCTGCATGCGATGACAACTGGACTCTGTAGCTCAGTTGGTTGGAGCCAGGGCGCTTATATATACATCTAATTCAAAAAAGGTTGTCCTTTGCAAAACTTTAACTCTAAGCGTGCAAAGCATAATGGAGCATCTTTTAATCTGTTTAGAAATCATATATGGGGCCCATTTCTTAGACACATGGGAAATATCTCCTTATACGAGAACAATTCATTCACAAGTATAGCGGCGATATTCAACAATACTAAGCTTGAAACCTATTAAGCTTTGCGCGCTTAGAGTTTAAGGTTTATGGCTTAGAGTTTAAGACTTTGCAAAGGACTTTTTTTTAATTGGCTGTATAAGCGCCCTAGCTGGCTAGAGCTGCACCTGTATCGCAGGGCCGCAAGTTCCTCCCATAGGTTCTATATTTCCTCGCATTTTTCACTTGCAACAAAATCTGATTTCAACGCATGTTAACTAGAAATGTCGACACATGTTGCCTTGTGATTTGTAATTTATGTGTAAACATTTTCACTTAACATGCGTTGAAATCAGATTTTGTTGCAAGTTGCAGCAATTTTGTTGCTCGTGTAACTCGATCCAGTCTAAATAATTGTATAAAATTTACACTCTAAAATTCCATCTCCAAAACTTAACCCTTCCATGTTTGTTAGTTTTTTTGGAATAATAAGCCTTAGTATTTATTCAAAAATAGTATACGTCTTGCACCGCACTGTACTATGTCTGGTTTTAATATTGTACACTCATCGTATTTATATCGGTTCGTTTAGGAATGGGTGGAACTTCAAGGCGATGATTTATCTAAAAGAGCTGCATCAATAAACATTGGTTGGCATGGGTGTATCTTAATTACCAATTGGTGTCACTTTATTTACTTAATTTTTCGTGTATTAATATGCCTGCACAATAAATGTATTATATTGGAAAATTCGAATGATGCAGGCTTGTTAAAGGCGGTTTTGCAGTCCTCGCACGTAGTTCCTAGCAGCTCGCTGCGAGTCACTTTCATCCAATCACAATGCAAAACAGTTAATTTTAATTAGATGCAAGCACTCGCGGCGAGGAGCTTCGTGCGAGGACTGGAAAACCGCCTTAAGTACTGCTAATTAACAATTATTCGCCGAAGGCGAGGTGATTATCGGTGAATAAAAACCGAGACGAAGTCGAGGTTTTTATTCACGATAATCACCGAGCCTGAGGTGAATAATTGTTTTAGTATAATTTCATAGGTGATTATTTGGAAAAAATAAGAAAATACACATTTCTTCATCATTTAATTGACAAAAAGGCTTCGGCCGCCATTTTGAAAATCGCTTAGGTGATTATCGCGTAATAATCACCTCAACGGCAACCAATCAGCGTGGAGAATAATCACCTATGTAATTATACTAACAACGAATAATAGGCAATTCCAACTTTTAATATATGCGCCCAGGGGGTGACGGGAAGTAAGGTATCATATTGCTGATTGTGCTGAAAAATTTCAATAAAAACTGCCGAAACAACGAAATATTGTATAAGCTATCACGGCGTGATAGCTTATACTTTATTTTTTCAGCATAATCAGCAATATGATACCTGATTTACCCCCCGCCCCTCCTGCGCATAAACTAAAAGTTGGAATTGCATAAAATTATTGTAATACCTTTAATTTAAGAATCTGAATTTAATCTTATTCTGCGCAAATGTCTGGAATTTATAAATTTTTGCCAGTTCTGACTTTAATTGAAGTATTTGCTTTAGATTAGGTGTAAACTTGACGTTTTTAATAAATCTCTTTTGTAGGAAGGGAAAGATAATTAAGATATTCGTGATATGTATAAGCGCTAATAGCCTGGGTATAAACAATATATATATAAACAATCCTTTAATTTGTAATTTTTGCCCCATATTTCTATGTTCTGATAAAATATTTTACCAATACACTCATAAATATTTGTGAATGAAACACATGATCATGCGAGGAAAATAAACCGAATCAGTTTTAATATGAAGGGGATTGAGGCTTATTAAACTTCTCTAAGGAGGGTGGGGGTGGGGGTGGGGTATTAGAGGAGGCAACTTCCCTGAAATTAGCCGTGAATAAAGAATTAAGGTGACTAGTTTTGGCCATCTTTCAAAATAATTATTTTATATTAAAATGAATATGGTTGCAAATCATTGTAACAACTATTATAATACTTTGACTGCTTTCTCGGGAAAGTTAATTAATGAGCACAATTTCATAACATATAGCATGGAACGGCTTTTTACGTTTACAGTCATTCCTGCAGGGAATTATTTGGTGTCTTCGCCTTCTTCGTCGCTTTCCCCAGAACATATCTACGTTTTCTGCATGCTTCCCTTGCATTCCCTCGCGCACTAGCTCTATCAGGGGAATATCCCTGGGTGGCAGAACCGCCTCGACAACTCCATGTATACCAGCCAGTTTTTCCGTCTTGTTTAAGATTATACGGTCTTCTAAATAGCCAACTTGACGACGGACAAGGAAACTCTTCAATAAGAAAAATTAAAATATAATTAAAATATTATTAAAATAAATATGATAAAACCGTTGGGTAAGTTCTCGCCAATCTGAAAACTACAAAATATGGGTTTAGTCCCAACAGTGTAGAAATAGTTTTGAACGGTCGGTGCCATGCAGCGTAGACGATAACAGCTACGGAATGAGAGAGATGTCAGAAAGATATGAACAGAACTTCAACGTTTCGAGCTTCGCCGGAAAGTTAGTATAGTGCCACTTTGTTTCACTGAACCGTTATCATGCAGGTTTTCATGGATGAAAAAGGCCTTGTTAAAACTTATTTACCTGGTTGATCAGGTGTTCTCCTCAGCAGTATTACGAAAATATTGGGAGGAGCGCAGGTGCCCCCGCCCACTCACCACTCACTCACCCTATGGAATGATCTATCATCTATACGCCCGTATTCTAAAAGCTCACTCACACTCAAAGAGTGGAGGTTCAATCTGAGTTTCACTTCAGTGTCAATGCTGTTTTTGAATATCTGCAGGGTGCGTAGTCACATGGTAAGGTAGGACACTAACCCTTCAGCTATTCAAAAACAGCATTGACACTCAAGGGAAGCTCAGATTGAACGTCCACTCTTTGAGTGTGAGCGAGCTTTTAGAATACGGGCGATAGTCTTTTCATTTTTTAGGAAACTCCCATAGGGCTATTCTTTCAGTTCATTTTCAAATAAACGTCGACGCCAAGATATAAGCGAGAATCTATCCAAATCTCGGGATTTCATATTACGTTACGTGGGGGTCAAGGGTAGAGGACGGGTTTTATATTATTTTGTTATATAATTAGTGTGAAAGTTCAATTTTTCTGTTTGCCGATTGGTCAAAACCGTATCACGTGCCACTCCACAAAACGTCATGTTCACTGCATGCTTTGCCAGTCAACAATAGAATGTACGCAATGCGCGTCAACCATGAAGTTCAGTTAAACTTTTTAATACTTTGACACCTATATCCCGAGACCTCGGGAAAGCAGTCTGTTTTGTGGTCTCTCGACCGCCGTTGTAGTAAATAAGCGATAATTATATTGGCTTTTCAGTAATGGTCGGAGAACTCATTTACATAAGATGCGTTGACAGCCATTTTGTTTTTTTGTTGTTTTAGGTTCAATGATTGATCCCCACTTAATTGAGTAAAATTATGCTAAAACATTACGTGAGAATGCGGCCATGCTCACAATTTATCCTAGACTATGCTACTATAGTTGTGTTATTTTGCTTTGTTATAATCAATCAGTGAAAGTCGCACGCGTCATGAGATCATTCTTTGGACACATTTCTTGCGGCATCTGAAATATTCAAATATATATGTGTTCCGTCTGTTCTGGTTATACGTATACAGTGTAAAGAAAGAGCAAAGTTTCTGTGTGCATTTTATAAACAAAATTTCTAAAATATAGTACCTAAATTTTCATCGGGCACTCTACAACCCAAATTCTGATACATGGTATAATTACGTAGATAAGAATCTTACCTGTCAAACTGAGCAAAAGACATAACGCTATCACTTTAGTCGATAATTTTGCCATGCTATATAGGACTTCGAAGCTTCTGCTAACAACAGAACAGTGACGGTTCAATTCGATGTATAACACTGAAACCACAGAATGAATTATGCAACTAATATAATCTGACCTGTTGAAGCTGACCTTTTTATGCTATCTATATATTACGTCATTAACACCCGTCAACAAAAACTGATTTTCCTCACCGCAAGGTTGGTATTAAAACTGACTAGGTTTTCCTGAACAAAAATTTAAATCCCCGCGTCATTTCCGGGAAGACCAATGCAGAGAGGTTTGGAGCTTTGCTATAGATCGTGCGATTCATGCCTCGCGTGGTATTTACACACCATCCTAAGGAATCGTTTATATTTATTAAATTGGTTAAACTAGCTAACATTATTTTTCTTCATTTCAAGTTTGAATTGTAATGCCGAGTCATGTCAATATCCTGCTTCCGTATGAATTTTAAAGAATTTATAGTTTGCCTCATTTGAAAGAACTTCGAATATAAATATTATATATGTAAAACTCGTGTGCCGATTTTTGACCGAAAAACAATCTTCGGTTTATTTCTTGTTTGGTCAGTTTTAATGACGTCAAAAGCAGGGTTAGCGGTCAAAATTACACCTCGTTGACTAAATAACAATTTTTAGTTTAGTCGATGTGTATATAGGCTCATAATGACCATCAATCATCATAAAAAATTTGCGTGACCCTGCATATGACAGTTTACTGATTTACGATCATTTCAGGAAAGCATTTCAACTTGAAAACGCTGTAAAAGTGCTTTCCACGTAATTTGAAGATTTCAAATTGATTGTCATATATCTATTTAAGTATAGGTTATTTTGAGGCAACGAGGGGATATGTGATTTATTCACCGAGGCGCGCAGCGCCGAGGTGAATAAACACATATCCCCGAGGTGCCTCAAAATAACGTACTTATTTTTCACACTGCGAGGTCGCGTTAATGAGTCAGAAAAGAAATAATTCTTAATGCCATATTGTCTTCGCGATGTTGTTTTTTCTCATTTTTTGTGCTGCAAAGACATTGCAGGTGAATATTAGAGGGGATTATTAATTGCAGGTGAATATTAGAAGGGATTATTAAACGGAAATTGATTAGAGGGGAATATTGAATCAGTATTCCCCGACAAGAACAAAGGAAACCGAGCAGGGTGAAAAATAATGTGTGCTTTAGCCGTTATACAGTGAAGTTTGTTTTAGAAAAATCGCGTATATAAGTGAAATAATCTCCGCCTAAAATAATGTCGACTTTAAAGTCGAATTAAAGTCGAATCAAGGCGTTTATTTTTGAAAAAATCCATATATACTGATATGTTGCGTATAAAAACAAACTGCACATCGAATAAGAAAATCAGTCACCTTACGAAATTCTCGAAATTTCGATGCCCTAACCAAACGAAATTTGGCATCGTTTGACTGCGTTTGACTGTATACGCTGCGTGAGTTTGTTAGTCTATTAAGCCGCATTCTGCATTCCGTCTAACCAAAATTGTGTGCCCAAACCAAGTTTGGCATCGCTTTATATTTGCTGCGTGAATTTGTTTGTCTGTTGGTTTCTTTGGAAACACAAGTCTTGTAGTATAAACTATGTGTTTGCGGGAAGAGATTATTTCGCCGGCCTCAGAGTGACAAAACGTAACAAAGCAACGGTTTTACTAACACTAACCCTACTCCAAACACCAACTCTAACCATAACCGTATTCCTTACCCTAATCTAACCCTACTCCAAATTTGTTTCTAAACCAATCTTGAAGAAAAAAGTTTTGACGAAATGTCAGTCTGAGGTCAGCGAAATAGTTGATGCCGTGTTTGCGCTTGTGGATAGTGCACTTGTTTTGCGCATGCTCCAAGGCACCGCATTGTAGTATTAGTGAGCCTAAAGGCACAGTTCAGCCTTTTGAACGATGGTTTTTAAGGCGCATTTCAGCCCTTTTAATTGAAAAAACTAACTAGGAAAATCAATTAAGCATAATTCAAGATCACCAAACTTAATGTTTTGAACATTTTAAAACATTTTTATTGTTAAAAACATCGAGTTTACTGATTTTGAATTATGCTTAATTGATTTTTAGTTTTTTCAATTAAAAGGGCTGAAATGCGCCTTAAAAACCATCGTTCAAAAGGCTGAACTGTGCCTTCAAGAAAGCGACGTTTTTGTCAACAATTAAAGATAATATGTGAAAGATATTATCATATCACATTATATATTTATATTATAATGTTTATTAATGCTACATATTACGTCAAGTAGTACTAATATTATCATAATAATTATTATTATTATTAATTAATATTTTATTTAATTAATATTTTATTTAATTAATATTTTAAATAGAAATTTCACTCGGCATTTTATCACAACCATGCATATGTCCATGAAAATCTTTGCGGAAATGCCGCGGTTTCCTTTCTACTAAAAACGTTTTTGTATTATCTGCGTGTAAACGTGCCAATCGAGAATTACAGTACCGTAAACCTCCAACTATAAGCCCTGGGCTTATCCGCCATGTCAGATGGCATGGCACAAAAGAATATTTTATCACAGAATAGATATACCATGTCATGTCTATTTTGTGATTTTATCGATCGGAACATTGTCTGGTGTGTACCAGGAGGAGATTGGTTGCAAGTCAAGAATATAACGTTTTGCACCTGAATTACTTTTGATTTTCGGAAATTGAAATATTTTACCTTCGCCGATGACCTCACTTTATAACTGGAGTGAAATCTCAGTAAGAAACCCCAGTAAATAGAAGAGAATACAATACCAGACATAAACTACTTATCATCTGTCTTTGCTATGGGTAGCCTGCTCGCATACGTATTAAATTTCGATATTTTAGTCTGCATGGCCATGGGCGTAGGAAGATCGGTATTTTGGGGGGGCTCATATTCATATGTTCATCAGGCAATCAATTTCAAAAGAAGTAAATGATGCAGAACACGAATATATGAATATGAGCCCCCCAAATATCGATCTTCCTACGCCCATGGCCATGCAGACTGAAATATCGAAATTTAATACGTATGCGAGCAGGCTACCCATAGCAAAGACAGATAAGTAGTTTATGTTTGGTATCTATTCTATTCTAACTATTGGGGTTTCTTTCGCTTTAAGAGATTTCACTCCAGTTATAAAGTGAGGTCACCGGCGAAGGTAAAGTATTTCAATTTCCGAAAATCAATTCCGAAGGTAATTCAGGTGCAAAACGTTTTATTAATGACTTGCAACCAATCTCCTCCTAGCTGGTACACACCAGACAGTGTTCATCGATAAAATCACAAAATAGACATGGTCAGGGACGCCGGAACTGGGGGGGGGGGCAGGAGGGGCGGCTGCCCCCCTTGCCTTTTGCTAGGGGGGAGGCAGGGGGGGCAGAAGTGCCCTTTTAGTTGTAAAATACTACGTGATAAATTACATCTCCAGTGATGCTTTTTCTGGGAAAATCATGAGATTCAGAATTGTGAATTTGGTAAAGAATGAGTTTAATTTACAAAAATTTTCGAAAATTTTTGGAATTTAGAAAAAATTTTTAACTTAACGGAAAATTTTGGTATGTCCGGAAAAATTTTTTGACCCCTAAAATGGTACACAGACCGAAATTTTTTTGGGGCCGGGGAGGGGGAGGGGGTCGCCCAAAAAATTTCCATGACAAAAAAATTTCCGGTAAATTTTGAACTTTTGCTGTATAAAGGTGCCCTTGGTGTGTGTCTGCCCCCCTTTTCCTTATTATCGTTCCGGCGTCCCTAGACATGGTGATATTATAGACTATTATGTGATAAATATTCTTTTGTGCCATGCCACCTGACATGGCGGGTGACCTGCAAGTCAAGAATCGGAGAAAATCAAAAATCAGTTCAGTCCAACTGTCCAGTCCAGTCCATGTTTTGTACTATGCCCTTTCAACCAGAGGTTTATTTTAAACCTCTGGAACCAGGGTATTTGTTTTGCCAAACCAATCAGGACGTGTTTCATGATTTATATTTCACTATTGTGGAAGCCATGTTTGCGCTAGATGGGAACCAGTGATGGGAACTCTTGATGGTTGATAAATGTATTCATCTAAAGGGGGGGAGGGGTATTATTAGAGAGGGGGCCTTATTTCAAGATGTACAGTAACTTCAGAAAATATAATATTGCCATAACAAAATGAAGTAATATCACTATAAAAATGTAATATTTAAACAACATTCCATTACACTATAAATAATCCAAACTTAATAAATTTCCAACAAAAAATAACCAATATTCACAAAATGAACTCAGTTTATAAATGGATCCCTCAATCAACACAGGAATCATCACCAAAATATCAATGTCATTTTCAGTACGAAACTCTTTATACTGTATTTAAAAATATTAAAAACAATCACAAAACAAGTCGAAATGGCGCCGGGTTTTTTAAAAAGTCTTTTATAAGTTGTTTGTTATTTTTAATAAAACACTCATACGCGTGCTTTTAATAGTACATAAACAGTTCAATATTAAACAATTTCTAACCCGGCAAAAACAACATATGATTACAAAATTATCTTAGTTTATAAATGCATCCCCAAAGAAACAAATCAATCACCACCATAACATCAATTCAGTATCATACAGTTTATACTGTATTTAAAACGTTGAAAAACAATCTCAAAGCAAGTCAATCAATTTCAAACAATTCCAACGGCTTTCAGGAAAATTTTAAAACAACATTCATTAGCAAAGTGTAAACATCATTTTCAATTTTGAACAGTGATACTGTATTTTGAAGACAACCCCAAAACAAGTTAATCAATTTCAAGCAATGCCAAATTAATTTCAAGAAAAATTTCAACACCAGGGCCGTAGCTAGACCGATAATTGGGGTGTGTATATTCATATATTTGTGTTCTGCCCGACGGATTTCTTTTGAAAGTGATTGTTTTGACAGTATATGAACATGAATATATGACATACACTCCACAATTATCGTGTCTAGTTATGGCCCTGTTCAACACAACATATCACCCAAAATCCCAAATTATTTTCAATTTATCTTGCCTAGTGGGGCAGCATATTGTCATGCATACTCATATGATCTTCAAGTTCGGTGGCAATTTTAAACTCGGCATCGCAGACACAACAGATATAACCAATGCCAGTTGCTTCTCTTGCTTCTAATTCCTTACAAACATCACATTGGTGGGATGAATGATGGTCTTTGGCCTTGTGCTGATATAAACTTTCAATATCAGGGAACTGTTTGTCGCATTTGTTGCAGACAGAATGATCGCCACTCAGTATCTCACTAGCATGTCCTTGTCGTTGTGATTGACTAATTTCCCTGCCACAACTGTTGCAGAATAATAAGCCATCTCTCGAATGTACTCTCCAGTGACGTTTGAGACTCTTACGTAGTGTGAATGTTTTCTTACATTTAGCACACTCAAGACTCGGCTTTCTCTTGTGTGCTGATATTTTATGTCGTGTTAATTTGTGAGATTCTGAAAATCTCTTATTGCAAACATAACATTCATAAGGTTTGTCTCCAGCATGTGTTCTTTTATGCTTGGTTAAGTTGGCCGAGCATGAAAATCTCTTCTTACAAACATCACATTCATAAGGTTTGTCTCCAGTGTGTGTTCTTTCGTGTGTAACTAAGGTGCTTAAGTGTGAAAATCTTTTGTTGCAAATATCACATTCATAAGGTTTGTCTCCAGTGTGCGTTCTTTCATGTGTAACTAAGGTGTTTGAGTGTGAAAATCTTTTGTTGCAAACATCACATTCATAAGGTTTGTCTCCAGTGTGTGTTCTTTTATGGGTAGCTAAGGTGCCAGACTGCAAAAATCTTTTGTTGCAAACATCACATTCATAAGGTTTCTCTCCAGTGTGTGTTCTCTTATGAATCGCTAAGTTGTTTGACTGCAAAAATCCCTTGTTGCAAACATCACATTCATAAGGTTTGTCTCCAGTGTGCGTTCTTTCATGTGTAACTAAGGTGCTTGAGTGTGAAAAACTCTTGTTGCAAACATCACATTCATAAGGTTTCTCTCCAGTGTGCGTTCTTTCATGTGTAACTAAGGTGCTTGAGTGTGAAAATCTCTTGTTGCAAACATCACATCCATAAGGTTTCTCTCCAGTGTGTGTTCGCTTATGAATTGCTAAGTGGCTTGATCGTAAAAATCTTTTGTTACAAACATCACATTTATAAGGTTTCTCTTCATTGTGTGTTCTTTTATGTCTTAATAAAGAGCTTCTCTGTGAAAATACCTTGTTACAGACATCACATTTCCTAGACATGGTTTCAGGCTTGTCTGGCTTGAAACAGCTTTTGATCTTTCCCACGTATATCAGATGCGCGCTCAAATTTCGATTAAAAATATCACCCAACTGTTCCCTCGAGTCGTTCTTTATTGAAACTTTATAATACTTCGGTTTTTACAAAATTTCTGATCATAAAAATGAGAATATTCAGAGACACAGTTCGCAAACAACACGAGTATCAAAATATGGCGCGCAGAAAGAATTCATGCGGTGTTTCCACTTTATAAAAACAAAAATTATTGATGTGAGAAGTTTCGCGACAGATACTGTAGAATAAACGCAAAAACATGAACAAAAAATTAGATTAAAACCCATCTAACCCACCCTTATTGGAAGAGATGGAGTCTTTTGAAAAGAGGAAACTGATACATCTTTCTCGCAGCGATTTGTTTTGCCAAACCAGTTGAATGCAATTCTCGAAAACCATACTGACAAGAAGAAAGGATAGCATGTTTTTGAATAAAGCTATGCATCCTTTTATACATCATCTTTTCAAAAAGTCTATTAAAATTAGATAATAGCGATATCGGCCGGTAATTATTAGCATCGGTCCTGTCATCATTTTTAAATATTGGAATGATTTTTGACATTTTAAATTTCGATGGATATACTCCTAACTCACTATTGATAAATTTAATAATCTACACAATATAATAAATATATTTCGGTTCTTTCGGCTGTTTTTATTGAAATTTTTCAGCATAATCAGCAATACGATACCTTACTTCCCATCTCCCCTGCACGCATAAATTAAAAGCTGGTATTGCCTATTGTCCCGTGGGACATCACAAAAACCTTTTTCGCGTTTAACACTTTAACGTCATTGTGAAAAATGTGTATTGGTTAGAGCATCGAAGTAAAAGATTTTAAATTTGTGATCTTTGCATCTCATCTTGGCCCATTCTCGTCCCCAAAGCCATTTTCACTTGGTCACTCGCTCTGGGTTAGACAACTAAAGGGAGAGATCTGATTGGCTTCTCAGAGAACTGCTATTTCGCAGAAGTTGAGCAGTTTTCGGTAGGCAAAATTATCCTATCAACATACTATGTCAACACAAATACTTCGTTTTTTCGTAATACTTCACTTTGAACATTGTTACGGGTGCTAAAGCATCCCAAGTCAAGAGCATGCGCTTTAGAAACTGCTGCAAGTTTTCTTTCACCTCCGGTTCCGTGTGTTCCAGGGCCTGGGTAGGACGCCCGCGGCCGAGAAGACCTGGGGACGGTGTTGGGTTGCTATGGTAATAGACTAAATTATTTCAGTGAACAGTAGCCTGCGTTAATGCTGGTTCTTTGACATCGATTGATTAAATTGGTCTGAAATATATATCCTTTCTCAAAGCATGAAATGTGCTACCTGTATTTTGGTAAAACATGCATAAACGTTTAATTTTTTGCTACAATTTGATGTAGCCTATATTGTATTAATAGTCTAAATTTAGATTTTACGAAGTCGTACTCGTACTGTATTAAACAACACTATATAAGGAACTATTAAGGAACTGAACGAAGATTTATGCGAAAAATACATTCAATAATCGAATATATAACCATATATTTGAAATTTATAGCTCAAATTATTAAGAGAAATGAAGATAGTTGCATTGTAATGCATAGAAATACAACAATGTCAATGCGTATCGTATTAATTTATAAAGATCATATTATTTAGTCTATTTACACACTATATATACTCACTACTCACTAGAACTAGATCTTTAAAATATATTATGTCTATATCATATACATACGCATTTTAATTAATACTGTGACTGTGTTGTGTCAACTGTCATTGTAAAATTGCCTTCGTTTTTAAATTAAACAAAAACGCTAGCGCTGCGATTTCAATAGGAATTGTAGACTAATTTACTGGAGAAAAGAATACAATCAGGTCGGGTTATCAAACACTTCATTTTTTTGAGAACATTTAAAATTGGTACGCTATACTCCCCAGTCAGGTCTCACTTATAACTAAATATAAAGCTATATCGGCGGTTTTGCTTGTGCTAAATTGAACAAAATATTTTCACAGTTTATGGAAAAAAAACCTAAAGCTAATAACTCATTTCGGTTGTTACGGTAGTTTCAGGTTTTAGGACGTGTTTTTAAACGCCGCGCAAGTGCACCAGAGTCTGACGCAGAAAGAAAATTGTCAGAAGATTTGCCTCATTTACACTCAATCTCGTACCCAGAGCCATCTCTGGGTACGAGATTGGGGTCTTTCCGCAGCGGGAGGGCGAGCGAAGGTAAGAGCCTGGGTACGAGGTTGAATATGATATACTAACTGAATATCTGACACTTTTCTGGTTCGCTATGCTTGTAAATGAATATAAACTAGACGTTTTAATTCAAAAAAGTTCGAAAGATGCAAAATTTGAGCAATGTCTATATCTGCATGCGAGTTCCCCTTTGTTATGCGCAGAACGGACTTAAAGGGGCAATGTCACCGATTTTTGGGCAATTCTAACCGTCGCAAATTTTGCCCAAAACTGAAAAAGAATGAGTGTAAGCACAAAATAAAGCAATAACAGACACAAAAGACATGTACAGAAGTCTGGATGGGTATGATTACGCCAGGATTGAGATGGATTGTAAATGGCATCTTGATTAATCGTTGGCAGACACTAGTTTTCAAGTTTTAGTCAATTTTTGTGGGTAGCCCGTTCGCGGGCTACCCACTATCATATACGAAAAAAACTATGAGCGATGATGATAAGCGCGCGATGTCTGTCCGCCGAGTTTGGTTATCTACGAAAGACACTGGGCGCGAGGTCGATAAGCCGAAGTAAGTACGACAGTTTGGCGATCGAAAGTTCGGTATTTCGTCGGAAACTCAGAAACCAAAACAACTTTGCTGTGGGAAGTGACCTGCGACCAACTCATTAAAAGTCTCAAAATATACTCTAAATTTTGCGATAGGTGAGTCGAAGAAGCGGTAAGTTACTATTTTTTGTTCATATTTTTTTATAATAGTTACAACGCTGTTTTCCTTTTCGCCCTTTTGTTGGCTTTTGATCTGCTCGATTGGTGTTGTAAATCATATATTGTGTTGGGTCGCAACAGCGAGGTTTTACACAGGCAATCCCGTTGTTTATGTTTAGGATGTAAATAGAAAGTCAACCAAATGGCAAATGTCGGTGTGCTTTGTGGTTTGGTCGAGTAATATGATTTGAATCTCCACCGTTATTTGTTTGAGTGATTAATACTTCTATTTGAAATGTGGAATCCAAGAGGCAAGAGTTCAGTAGTTGTTCACAGTGTAATCTGTCAAAATGCTATGGACAGTAAAATTTTATGTGGTCCTAACAAAGCCTAATACATAAATTTTATTTGTTCTTCATTACCGTAAATATTTGAATAATATATTAGTAAATTGCATTAGCTCCTTTAATAACGAAAATGACATTTAAAATTCTTGTGAACTAAACTATTAAAGGTCAAGGAATCTATCGCAAACTAACATTATGACAAACTAACATTAAAACAATTGAGTAAGAAACTAGTTGTACTGCTAGCACTTACTTCGGCAGAAAGAGGCTCAGAATTAATTGCTCATCCAGAAGGGGTATCGTTTAACCTTCCGGAGCTTACCAAAGGAGTTCGTACAGGGAAACCACTGAAAATCTCTTTTCATGCAAATTTTCCCACAAATTAAATGAGTTGCTGTGTCCTGTCGCATGTCTCAAAGAGTATGAGAAACGAACAAAAAATTGTCGTCCGAGTTCCAGCAAAGAACCAAATAAACTGTTTTTATCAGGAAATGAACCTCACAAACCTATAACCTCCTCAACGTTGTCCCATTGGGTAAAGGATTGCTTACTAGAAGCAGGCATAGACAACAATGTATTTAAAGCACACTTTACAAGAGGTGCATCGACGTCTGCAGCAGCTAGAGCTGGTATTTCTCTTCCTGAAATAATCAAATTGGGAGACTGGACAAAGGATAGTACCTTCAAGCGATTCCATTATCGTCCGGTATGGAATGCTACTGTAGGTCGTTCGATATTACACAATGCTTCAGTAGGATGAG